GGCATAGCGCCTGCCTGACAAGCGCAAGGTCCTGAGTTTGATTCCTAGTACCAAAAAAGGAGCTTGATTTAAGTGCAGGATCTGTTTCCTAATAGCCATGTGACACTGGGCAAATGGTTTCATATGCCCGAGTCTCAGTTTTTCCATCTTTAAAAATAGAATAAGAGGGGCCGTGGAGATGGCTCAGTAGAATAAATGCTTGCCTGGCAAGCAAAAGGGCCTGAGTTCCATCCCCAGTTCTTCCAAAACAAAAGAGAATAAGAGCTGGTTGTGGTAGACCACACCTGTAATCCCAGCGCTTGGGAAGCTGAGAATGAATTGCTTAGCTTTTGAGGCCAGCCTAGGCTACACAGTGAGTTAAAGGCCAGCCTGTACTACTAGGGAGACCCTGTATCAAAACAAAAGGAATAGAGCCTGGGAGATAGCTCAGTAGAATAAGTGCTTTCCTGGCAAGCACAAGATCCTGAATTCAATCCCTGGTACTGCAAAAAAAAAAAAAAAAAAAAAAAAAAGGAATAAGAATATTTGCTACTACATATTTAATTTTTGCTGTGTAGCAGGACTTGGATCATTGATATAAACCTTTGAGAAATGGTTGTGAGCTACCAATGGTCCTTCTCTAAAAGGCTGCATTTCTTTGTTTTGCTTAGAAACTATCTTGCTATGTAGTTCAGGCTGCCCTTAAATTCCCTACGTAGCTCAGACTGGCCTTGAGCTCCTGGGATTCCTCCTGCCTCAGCTTCCTGAGATAGCAACTATGCGCTGTCACACTGGGTATTCTGCTTTCTTTGGTTACTTCCATTGTTGCTGATGTTCTCCTTTCATTTGCTCTCAGATTACAGAAGTGGCCTAGCTTTCTCTGAAAATTTTCTGGCCCTTTGATCATCTCTTAGTTGGCTGGAGCTATGCCTTCAAAATGTGAGGTACAGAGAGCACAGTGCAGGATGTTCATGCTTACTTACTGTCGGGCGCCCTCCCGTCCAGCAGGAAAGCACTCAACACGATTTGTGCGGCGGAAAGGCTTTAATCGTTCTCCTGAGTGATGCGCCCCGAGAGAGCACAGTTCCTCTCTCCGTCCCTCTTCCTGTCTCTGACCCTCCGCGACGCGGAGCGTTTCTTTTATATCCTCACACTGTCCAATCGAGGGTTGATACATGTTACAGCGCCATTGGTTACAATCTCAGGGAAGGTATCTTACATCATTATAGGCGGGTGTATAGCGACTGCGGAAGCAGGAAATGAGCGCCATCTTGGCACACTCAGTGGGAGGGGTAATCTAGCGCAGGCTTCAAGGGCTGCAGCAGGCCTCACCCAGTGGTCCCTAGGAGTTTTGGTTCTGAAGCCGCGATTCGCGGCATGGGCTCTCTACAACTTACCATCATATTCTCTATTTAATGCAGCTTTATGTAGAAGGATAACACAACCAGGGATAAGTGCACGCGTGAAGCGTGAGTGCTGGATGAGTTATCACACAACAACTGCCTCCAGGGTACCTTTGTAACTCCCACCTAGAGGAGAAATAGAAGAGGCACTCAGAAACTCTGGTTGTGTTTTTGCCCCTCCTAATTGCTATTACTTTTCACCTCATCTTTTCTTTCTGTGTTGCTGGAGCCAAACGCAAAGCCTTATTGAGAGATCCAGAAAGTATTTGTTAAGCTGAATTGATCCTCTGAGATCATTTGGTGTCCTTCACTTTGACTTTTTTGGTCTTAATTTAGCCTTCTGTAAAAACATCACAGTATTTCAATGACTTCAAAAATTCTTATGTGGAAGCCAGGCACGGTAGTAGCACAAACTGGAGACCAGCTTGGGCAATGTAGCAACTTAGTGAATCCTTGTTTCAAAGAGGAGGAGAAGGAAGAGATGGCAAGGAAGAAGAAAAAGAGGATGAGAAAAGAAAAAGAAAGAGAAAGGAAGAAAGGAAGGAAGGGTATGGGTTCAATTCCCAGCATCACCAGAAAAAAAATTCTTACCTCAGGTTGAGGATGTGGCTCAGTGGTAGAGTACTTGCCTATTTTTTTTTGGGGGGGGGTGTGGCTGGCTCAGAATGACTTCAGGGCATGTTTCACTGGCTGGAGTTGTGGGGATTGAACCACAGCAACCTGAGGGTGACTGCTTTGTTGAAGCAGCAACTTAAACAATTGAGCTAAGGGCCAGGCCCCTATTTATTTTTTAACTTTTATTTATTTATTTATTTATTTATTTATTTATTGCAGAACCGAGGATTGAACTCAGGGGCCCTTGCGCTTGCCAGGGAAGTGTTTATTCCACTGAGCTATCTCCCTGGCCCCTCCTGTTTTATTTTTGAGCTGAGGTCTTGCTAAGTCACTAAAGGTTGCCCAGGCTGGGCTTAAACTTGTGATCCTCACACCTTAGCTTCCAGGAATGCTGGGATTAGAACCATGTCCCACCACGCTCAGTTCATTCGTTCGTTCTTTCTTTCTTTTTTAAATGTATTTGGTACAGGGCTTTACTACACAGCTAGGACTCGTAGTGGTCCTCCTGTTTTCAACCTCCCCAGTGCTGGGATTACAGTGTGCCACTTTGCTGGGTCTCAGTGTCTGGCTCAGCATGCCAAGGGGCACAGCCGGCAAGGCATGTGGTGTTGGGACATGCCCAGTTTTAAAGATTTTTTTTTTTCTTCTGGTATTGGGAATCAAGCTCAGGACCTTGCCCCTGCTAGACAGATGCTTGTGCCAGAGCTATACCCCTGGCCCTGTAAAGATATTTTTCAAAAGGTTTCTGATGATTCTACCATGTAGCCATTATCTCTTGAAACTTACCAGGGCCGATCATCACCGTAAGTTTAACTCAGTTCTACTACTGTTGTGGGTTCAATTGTACAACCATCTCCACCCCCCAAAAATTTGAGGTCCTCACCTTCAGTGCCTGTGAATGTGGCCCTATTTGAATATGGTCTTTGAAGATGATCAAGTTACGATGAAATCATTAGGGTGTACCCCTGATCCAATCCGACTGGTGTCCTCATAAAGGCAAATGAGGACCCTGACCCAGGGAGAACTACGTGTGAAGCTTGGAGTTACGCTGCCTCAACCAAGGAATGCCAGACACTGCCAGCTAAGCACCAAAAGGTGGGAAAGGCCTGGAACAGGTTCTTCTGTGTAGCCCTCAGCAGAAAGCAACCTTGCCAATACTTTGATCTTAGACCTCTAGCCTTTAGAACTGTGAAACAATACATTTCTGCTGTTTTGGCCGCCTAGTTTGTTATTTTGGGACAGCATTCCTAGCAAACTAATACATTTTATTTATTTATTTATTTATTTATTTATTTATTGTCTTTTTGAGACAGGGTCTTGCTATGCAGCTCAGGCTGGCCTTGAGCTTACTTTGAAACCTAGGCTGGTCTCAAACTCACAGCAATCTTCTTGCCTCAGCCTCTTGACTACTGGGATTACAGGTATGTGCCACCACATCCCACTGAAACTAATACACTACTTACATGGCAGCTGAGTCTCTGCCTATTTGCTTCTTTGTAAAATGCAATATGTTGGGGTACATTCTAAGCACTTTATGTAAATCGCATTATTGCTCCAAGAGAGGTACTACTACGGCATTATCTCTACGGCACAGATGTAAAAGCTGTGAAACAGAGCTACCCCATTTGGAAATACCCATGGAGCTCCATGGGCTATGCTCCTACTCCTTTCTTTCAATAAAACTTTCCTAACATCCTTCTTTGGCTTGAGACTTCACAGCATCTGTGGAGCTGTGAACCCGGAACACAAGATAACAGTAAAAAAAACCTCAAAATTTTAATTAAATTTTCTTTATGTTCTTCAGTATTTCTTACAAACTTTGTGAAATGGAAAATACTTTTTTTGCAAGTCAAATACCTAAAATATAATTCTGATTGGCTAAGATGGGCAAAATGCATGTGAACAGTTCTATTGATACCTTTATTAAAAAAAAGAAAACTGTGAAACAGAGAGGCTAACTTTAACTTGCTCATGGTCACATGTACATGAAGACTGGACATAAAACTATATCCTTCACAGAATTATTGGAGAGCCTTTATGAGACTACAAATGTGGATATGAAAGCGGTTTGTAAAGAGTCTTTTTCTCGTGTTAGACTCTCCGCAGATTAGATTTTTTTTCTTGGGGGGTTGCTAGCTCTGACTCGACTTCCTCTTCTTCAAGAGACTTCCTCTCCTTGGCGACAGGGGCCGCTGTGCTCCGCGGGCGCTGACAGGTTGCTCTAGCCCGCTGCGCCGGCGGCTCGCTGGTGCCTATAAGTGGCAGTGCTGGTCTCAGAGAGGCATCAGTCGGCTGCCGCCCAGGCTAGGGCGGGTCGTGGAGCTGGAGCAGGTCGTAGAGGAACTTCTGCTGGGCCGGGCGGAGCGCGTGCGGCACCTTGCTGGGGTCGCCCGGAGGGGCGTGTTGCTGCCGGCGCACGGCGAGCCGCCCCCAGCCCGCGCCGAAGCGCCTTCCCGCCAGGCCGTCTGACTCTGCCTTCCGCCTCCCTCTACCCTCCATTTCCCCGGATTCTCAGCCCGGCGCACCTGGACCCCGGCCCTCCTTTGGGTGTGGAAGCTCCTGGCCGCTTTCTCGCTTCACTCCTTCCTTCCAGGCCAGGCGTCCAGCCCCCTCCCTCCTTTCCTGGACCGGGTCTCACCCTTTTCGTTGCCCTTCCTTTAGCGCAGGCTCCCTCCACCTTCCCTTTGCCGAGTCCCAGCGCCCCGGTCACTTTGGCTCAGTCAAAGTTCCCATCCTTTTTTCTTCCTTTTCCTTGTCTCGGGTCCCGCCTATTCTGACTCCTCTTCTGTCTCTAGGTGCATTCTGTCCTCTTCTGCTCTTCCAGATCTGGAGTTCCAGACCTTTTGGTCCTCTTCCGTGGGCGGTTCTGTTTGTTTGGGTTTTTTTTTTTTTTTTTT